CTGCCCTCCATCCCTCTGTCCCCCATCTCTCTGCCCTCCATCCCTCTGTCCCCCATCTCTCTGCCCTCCATCCCTCTGCTCCCCATCATCTCACATGTATTTTATCATCCCTCCCAGATCATGACGAGGCCCTCAGCTGCCAACAAGAATTTCCCCTACCACGTGCGAACTTCCCAGATTGCGTCAGCTGGGGGCCCTGGGCCAGAAGGGGCCCCATCAGACAAGTCCTTCCCTCAGCATGTCTATGGAAATGTCACTTTCATCAGCGACTCCGTCCCCAACTTCACGGAACTCTTCTCCATCCCTTCAGCATCAGGGGCCAGCGTAAGCTCTGCCATGCGGGTCCCAGCTACTCCCCCTGGGAGCTGGCTCCGCCCCCTGAGGACCTGGCTGCTCACTCAGGCACCCCTCCCAGGCCCTGAGGACGCCCCTCTCCCCTCCCAGCTCCTGACCCCACCCCTGGAGTACCTCACCCCTGTCCCTGCCCCACCCCCACAAACCTCTGAGCGCCTCACACGCAGGACCCCACTGACCCCACCGCTAGGCTTCAGGAGTCCACCCCCGTCCCTCCCATCCTGGGTCCTGGCCTTGCTTCGGACCCCACCCCCAGCCCCACGAGTCCCCCCTCCCCCAGCTTTCCAGGTTCCCCCTCCCCCTCCCCGTTCCCCAGTCCTGGCCACTCGGGCCCTGACCCCACCCCCTGAATTCATCACGCATGACTTAACCATGCCCTTAGAATATCTGGCCCCCCTCCCCACTCACCAGGGGCGCTTCCTCACCCTCCCAGACTGAGCCACCAGGGGTGGGAGGGGAGGGATCTTTCCTAGGGAGGGGGGAGAGGAGACTTTGGGGACCATATCCTCCCCTCCTCCGGTGAGTTCCCACCAGCAACTGATCATCCCCTCCCCTCCCTGAATCCTCCCCCTCCCCCCAGGCTGGGAAGCAGGTGGAGGAGACAGCGGCAGCAGAGCCTCCAAGGGGCCGGGTGGTGACCACGGCCAAGCAGGCCTCTCCACCCCCGGCCCCCGGTGGGGAGGGCCTGCCGCCCCCTTACCAGCTCCATGCCCCCCAGATCCACAGGCCCCACCCTGGCTTTCCTGAGTACTTCAGCATCCATACCAGTGCTGGGGCTGCACCCCCCATCTGAGGGCTGGCACCCCACTTATGTATGCCCACATACACACGCAGCCCTGAGAGGTTTTAGGGGGGTGGGGGTTGGCCCAGCCTGAGTTCTGGGACCCACCAGGCCTTGACGGTCAGCCGCTCCCCTTCCCCACCCCACACCCAATTCAATGCCCCCAATCCCCTCATTTTGTGCCAAATGGCCCCAGTGGGAGCCTCTCTCCCCCCACCCCTCCCTCCCCTCAGCCCCTACCCCGAAGGTCACCGAGGGACCCCAGCCTCCTCCTGCTCCGGGATCTCCGACCTCCTTCAAGCCTGCACAGATACTGAGGTGCTTCCTCAAGAAACCCCAGGATCCAAGCCCCAGGCTCGTCCTCGGCCCTTCAAGATGCCATGACCTCTGGCCTCCCGGCCGTCGCAGTCTCCTGCCACAGGCTTTGACCCCCGCCCTCAGACGGATGTTCAGCTGGATTCTGACCCGGTGACCTCCTGGGGTGGTTCTTTGGTCGGATGCCTAGGGGAGGGGTCCCTTTTCTTGCCAAAATAAAAGATGTGAACTCTAAAGATGAGTGTGGCCTCCCCAGGCTCCAGCCGCGGTCCCCAAGGGTCCAGGGAGATTGCAGAAAAGACCCTGCTGGAGCACAGTGGGGCCTTGAGACCCTCTGTGGCCCTCCATGCCAGCTCAGAGAGCCCAGGGTCTCAGCAGCTGCCCTCCTTGGGCCCCTCCCAACTCGCGTCCAACGCAGGGCCCTTTCCAGGCTCCGTGGCAGCAGGAAGGGGGCCCGGGGCTCAAAGCCCCCACACTGCCCCTTCCAGCCAGGCCCAGACAGCCCAGCTCCCTCTCTGGGCCTCCACTGGTCATTCTTGGCCAGTTGGTGCAGGGCCAGCATTTTGTGAACCATGGCCACCAGGAAATGGTGCCTGCTCTTGTGGAAGGAGCTGTCATGATCACAGCTGGTGGGATTGGGGTTTGGCTTCCCCAAGCAGAAAGTGGCCGTGGCTGAGCAGTTAGAGTCACAGCTGAGGAGGGAGGGAATAAGCACGCATTAAGCATCTGTGCTGTGCTAGGCACTGTGCCAAGCGCTTTAGGTACCTCATTTGTGGAGAACACCAGAATGTTAAGGCTGAGGAGGGCCCTAGAACAGGGAATGTCCAGACTGGGAGGGCCCTAGAACAGGGAATGTCAGGGCTGGGAAGGCCCTTAGAACACGGAATGTCAGGGCTAGGAGGGCCCTTAGAGCAGGGTTGGGAAGAAAGGACAATGGAAAGAACAGGATTTAGGGGCAGAGGGTCTGGGTTAAAATCCCAGTTTTGCTACCTACTATCTTTGTGGCCTTGGGAAAGTAAGTCAACCTCTCTGGGTCTCAGTTTCCTCCAAATGTAGAATGAGGAGGTTCTACTGGTGGCCTCTAAGATCCCTTCTGTCTTTAAATCTATAATCCTAGGACCCTGTGATGTAAAGATAAAAATGGTCCCCATCCTCAGGGACTTACTAGGGACTAAAACATGTATTCTGAGAATTAAATACAAAGCAGCTGGTGGCGCCATAGTGCACAGAGCGCCAGGCCTCAAATCAGGAAGGCCTGAGTTCAAATCTGGCCTCAGAGACTTCCTCGCTGTGTGACCCTGACCAAATCACTTACCCCTGTTTGCCTCAGTTTCCTCATCGGTCAGATGATCTGAAGAACAAAATGGCACGTCCCTCTAATATCTTTGCCAAGAAAACCCCAAATGGGGTCACAAAGAGTTAGACATGGCTGAAAAACGACTGGACAAAAATTTGAAGACAGAGACTGAACCAACAATTTTTGGGGGCAGGGGAGCGGTATTCTGAATGTGGAGTGGGGAAGAGAAGCAAGGAAGGCTTCGTGTAAGAAGCAGCTCCTGAGCTGAGGCTCAGAGGAAGATGGGGTTTCTAAAGATTGGGATGAGGAGAGAATGCATTTCGGGCATGGAGGCCAGGCTGTGCAAAGTCATGCAGGCTAGATGATCGGAGCACAATTCAGAACCAGAAGCCTCATTGAGTAATTTGTATTTTAGCCTAAAGGCCATATGGTCCAATGAAAAGAGTTCTGGATTTGAAGTTAGTGGAGATGAATTCAAATTCTAGCTCTGTCACTAAGGTCTCTGTTCTAGGTCCCTCGTGACTCTGACAGCCTGTGTTCTAAATGAAGTTCCTTCCAGCTACGGCCTGTGTGAGCTTGGGGAAGTGACATAACCTCTCTGGGCCTCAGTTTCTTCTTCTTTTGTGGAGGGGTTAAGCGATTTGCCAAGGTCACACATCTAGTAAGTTTCTGAGGCTGGATTTGAACTCAGGTCCTCCTGACTCCAGGGCTGATGCCCTATCGACTGTACCACCTATCTGCCCTCTCAATTCCTTCTTCTACAAAATGAGGCAGGGTTGGATTAGATGACCCCTGAGGTCATTTGCAACCAGTTCATAAAGGTTCATGAGAGCTGATTATTTCATTGTGAGCGTTTACACCTCAGAAATCAGCAAATGCTATAAATCAGAGTTGAGTTTATTTTTTGTTGCTTGGCTAGATTTAAGGGATGGAGAGAATGTGAATAATGCAAATTCAACTTAAAAGTGTTTCCTGTAGGGGCAGGTAGGTGGCATGGTGGATAGAGCACTGGTCCTGGAGTCAGGAGGACCTGAGTTCAAATCCAACCTCAGACCAGATACTTACCACCTACTAGATGTGTGACCCTGGGCAAGTCACTTAACCCCAATTGCCTCACCAAAAAAAAAAAAATGTGTCGTGTACATTTTTTCCTCAAAGAGCCATTTGTTAAACAATTACCAAAATACCCCTACTTTTAACTATAGGTTTATGATCCAAGCAGGGAACCAGTGAAGATCTGTGGGTAGTGGAGTGACATCATCAGACCTGGCAGATGACTTTTGGCCATGTTATGAGGACAGGTTGGAGCAGAGACTAGAAGAGGGAGGCACCACTGAGAAACCAGCTCTAGTAGTTCTGGTGAGGGATGATGAGGGCTTGATCTCAGGGGTTTACTATGTCAGTGGAGAGGAGGCGATGGGTGTGAGCTGTGCTGTGGAAATAGAACTGCCAACATGTGGCAAGAATGGGAAAGTGAATTAGGGCGGTCAGGGAGGTTAGTGAAAGAGAGAAGTCAAGGACCCCTCAGGTTATGAACTTGGTGACTGGAAGGGTAATGCCCCCCTTAAAAGAAATAGGAATGGTGAAGATAGAAAATCCCCAGCTCCACCCTTCCCTTCTGTCTTTCTAAATAAAGATCCTAGAGGGTGATTGGCATGGAGTGGCAAGGTGAATGATGGAGATAAAGAAGAATTGTCTAGGCTAACTAAAGAATTGTCAGTCAAGCTGTGAATTGTTAGACTCCTTTTTATGAGCAATTTGGAATTGCGTAAATACATTAGCTAAAGTATCCATGCCCTCTGACCAAAGATTCCATTGCTGGGTATATACTCCAAGGAGGTTAATGAGAGAGAGAGAGAGAGACAGAGAGACAGAGAGATAGACAGAGACAGAGACAGAGAGACACAAAAAGACAGAGAGAGACAGAGATAGAGTAAGAGAGACAGAGAGAAACAGATACAGAAAGAGGAGGAGGAGGAGAAGAAGAAGGAGAGGAAGAAGAAGAAGAAGAAGAAGAAGAAGAAGAAGAAGAAGAAGAAGA